GACCAAATGGAGCTTCCTTTCTTATCATATTCAATCTGGATGGAGTCAATGCCTGCTCCATGAACTATCACCAATTGCCTTACTCCTGAGTATACCCCGTCGTCCCAAAGAGATCCTCCCTTGCCTCCCCATGGTCCAACTGACTGAGGTTTCTTTGTGGAATCCTCAGAACTCTGCACACAAAAACATCATGCAAAGGTGGTAAGAAAAGAGGGTAAAAACATACATTTGTTGAAAATAAACTGAGGTATCTAAGCATTTAGTCCTGTTTAACATAAACATCTATGAGTTTTGTCATATGTAATGTAACATAAGTAGTTGTATGCATGTACTACCATGTTCTACTTGGGGGATAATGATGTTTGACTTTGGACTAGGAAAACTGATATTGTTAATGTGAGTGCAGTTAAGGGGAGGCATAGGAAGAATTTATGGAGGAAGAGATTGAGTTTTTGGTAGGGGACTTTGTCTATAAAAATAATATAGATGAAGAACTATGTAGACAAAGCTAATTTTAGTTGCACTATGGAGGGAAAGCAATAAAAGGCAGGGAATCAACTTCCCTACATCTATCAGTACCTTGTTTTTGTTAAACAATTCTTGCACTTTTTTAAGACACATGATAGGTATTTTAGGAGAGACTGAACAATCATTTTATTTCTCATTTATTGAGAAAATAGAAAGGAACATATCCTCTTATGCTAAATTCGAGTTTTGGAATTTAGTCAGCAGCACTTAGACTTTATTAGTGGTTTGGTGCCATGAGTGGTAGAGATTTCTTGGAATCTGATTTCTGATGATCATATCATATTCTACACCCTCTTATATTTCTTTATTTAATCATTTTTAGCTATGTTCTTTGTATTAAAATTTTACACCGTACTTACTCATAATGTGCTTCTTATAAACAATTCGAGGAAGAATCTAATACTCTTTTGTGGATGCTTGCTCATGCCACACTTTGTGTTCTCTACCAATCTTTTCCCAGATTGAATTTTCTGGCCCCAATCATTAGTTTATAAAGCATGTTTGAATGAGAATCTATTACTTATAGCTATTGAGGAACATGAAAAGACTACAATTATTGGCTTTATAATATATTTATTATATCTTCTTGGACATACTTACAAATCTTTGTTCTGGAACATCACCAATTCATGTATCGTATCCAAATGGGGTTCTACATAACAGATTATACGGCAAAGGGCCTCTTTTGTGATTTTCTCATTTTCCTCCTAAACCAACCTCTGTAATACACCAGAACAATATTTTAATGCCTTGAAACATGAGAATAGAACCTCTAAAACATGGATGGTCGAATAAGACGCATTGCTTCATTTTTGTTGGGTGTTTTGCTACTAATTTCATTTAAAAATTACTTTATTTATGTAAGTTATTTCGTTATCTTTTTACATGAACTTTTTTGGGTTTTTAAGTGATTGGCTGAGAAATCTTTTTTTTTTTCTAATTCTGCCTTATACTTATTTCTTGTTTATTAGTTGTGTCTCGTAAATATGATCTTACCAACAAGATTCCTTTGACTATGAAGTAAAGAAACTCCAAAGAAAACAAATTTTCTCTTAATGATATTTTCTTGAGTGTTAAGTGGCCAATCTTTCATCAACTTGCTTAATTATGATTTATCTCAAATGTAACTAAATTGATGATTATCATAAGTGTAGTATACTGCTTCTGATCTAAGAAAGAAATTGAAAATTTTGAAACCATTTATTGAGTAGCTCTATCGAAGGAATGTAGTTGCTCATTCCAATCCTTGGTGGAGTCATGACAAATGTCTTGAAATTTAAGGCAGTCATACTCATATAATAAACATTGACAAAAAAAATATAAGTATGCAGATGGATGATTTATTTTTAAATTTTAGGAAATGTAATTGTTTTAATTGAATATTTTAATTTATAGAATGTTTTTCAATTATCTGTATATTATATTCATTATTAAATTCACATTTCAAGTAAATCAAATAAGATCAACAATATACATAGAGAGAGAGTTCAATCTCTTCCAAAAACAACAATGTAGAAATAGAAATGGGTCACAGTGCACACTTTGTCATCTCGTATTTTGTACATAGAAATAGTTAAATAATAGTTGTAAGATCTCTTCTCTGAAACGTCAGGCTTAGCTTCTAATATGTCTAACCTAGGATCAATGGAAATTTGTTAACACTCTATTTGTTTTTGTGGATCCACTATTTGTGCATGTGTTCAACGATGGATGTGCGACTAAGAAGTGCATTTGTTTCAAGTTATTTGCAGCTAATTTAGCAGAGTTAACTTGAAGAGAATGCTTATATCCATCCATGCATATTGGAAGAAATAGGTAGAGATGTATGGTATAGGATGCATTGAATATAACCTTGGCTTTTATTTGAAACTAGTACTGTCCAGATATACATGAAGATGACTCTCATTGCATGAATAGTGAGATTTCTTGCTGAACAGTGGAGATTTTCCTGCACATCACAGCCTTTGACCACAAATGGGGTAGATGGTTGTATAAAAAGGCCATCAATGTGATCATTGGGAGAATAGGTGTTGCCTTCAATACACAACTTTAAAAAGAGTTGTTTGAAAGTCTCGTGGTGTTTTTTTGTGGAGTAGAAGGAATTCTGCTATTGAAGAGGTCTCGTGGTGTTGTTTGTGGAGGAGAAGGCAACGAGTGTTCACAGTCCACACACAAGCTTTTTTAGTTGAGAAACATGCTTCTTGAGGTGACAAACGTTGCATTTACCAAATATTTATTCATTCGTACGCTGCCGGTTTGATGCTGGGAAAGTTTAAAATCGATTTTGGTCGAAAGCAAATCAATTCTTCCCTATTTACATGAAAATGAAAAGGATGAAGTACTTGAAAAACATTAGAAGAGGAGGAAGTTGAATAATGTTAATGGAAAAAAATATTTCGCAACTTTTTTATATAGCACGTAGTAGCGTTTTATGATTTCCTTTTAAATGTTTAGACGTTCTACCTAATAAAAGATAGTTTCAAGAAATATGTTTTTGTAGTGCTATTAAGGATGTACACAACAGAGTTTATAAAAACTTCCTTTATTTAATAGTAATCGTTGTTTAGCTCGAAAAGTTCAGCGTTTAGAAATAAAAACTCAACTGCAAGTTTTGTAAGAGAAGCGTTTAGGCAAGAGAGGAAATAATTGCTCAAAATATTTTATACTGGTTCACTCCAACTGAGTTACGTGTAATTTTCTCCGGAGAAAATTTCACTATCATCTCCACAAGATTACACGGAGTATTCGCATCATTCTTAGTTTTCAGAGTCAGCGAGTAACTTCTTGTTATCCTAGACTTGGATGAGTATTTTCACCACTCCTGGTCTCCATTATTAATGAATAACCACATGTTACCCTAGACTTGGAGGAGTATTCGCACCACTTCTAGTACTAAGCAACCTTGCCAGATTTTCTTTAACTCAAATGAGTTCAATAAGTGTTTTAACTCTCTTGAGAATTGCAATCAAAGATTGCTTACAAGAGAAATATTAGTTGCATTTATAGGATCAACATGGACCGATAGTCTATGTTCGCATTGGAGTAATACTTACCTTAAAATATAATAACCATAATAACAAACTTTCGATATTAGTTATAATATGTGCATATTACCCAAATAGATATAGGTTTGGATTACTTTATAACAAAGATAATTAATGAATTATATTGGGTTGTGTCTCTAATATGTTTATTGGGCCTTAAATTCTCAACTATACCTCCACCTATAATAAATCAAATTATATATTGTATTTTGTAATGGTTAGTTAGGATAAATGAACTTATACTACTCATTTAAATCTTCAAGGTTTATACCTCCAACTACAATAAATCAAATTATATATTGTATTTTATATCGACTAGTGAGAATAAATGAACTAATACTACTTATTTAAATCTCCAAATTTGTAACTCCGATTACGATAGATCAAATTATACATTATATTTTGTAGTAGATAAAAACGGAATAAATGGCTAATATTATTTATCTAAATCTCCAATATATACATCTATAGCTACAATAATTAAAGTATGTATTATTATATTTGTACATTGAATTTTTAATCGAAATTGATTCCGTAAAACATGTAGAACTTTCACATTGGAAAGTTAGTGCACAAATAATAACCACACAAGTAGTATTTTTATATTGGAAATTTACTGTCACAATATTCATTCAAATACAAATATATGTAAAGTATCCGGATTTACTTCCAAAACAAATCACATTTATACGGATATACGTATTATTTCTGGAATTACTTTTAAGTATGTAGAACTAATTAATTTTTATGTACCAAGAAAAAACTATTTGATTTTTTATTCTCATAATATATATCATTATTATTTTTTACACAATTGTATAATAAAATAAAATTTAAAGAAATATGTAAATAACTTATATATATTTTCATAATAAAATTATTATATAAATTTACAAAAAATAAAATATTTATTTTAAACTTTAATTATATTTTCAAAAGTATAAGTTTATATAATAAATATATTATATTTTTAAAAAATGCATAGTTACAAAATACTAGTGATGTACATTTCTCTTGCAAATTTACAAGGCAGGGGAATTTTATTCCAGTATACATATAATTCTTTTAGATCATTCCCTGCATTGAAAAGTGGTATGACAGAAATATCAACTACATTATTTTCCATTTCTCCTCAAATTCCAAGTCTATTTTTTTTTTATCTTACATGTTTTCTTGAAGAAACTGAAGTATCATCTTCACTTATGTCTATGTACTCATGATCCACCACCCTCTAAAATAAAACTGCTCTAGTATCAGCTACCTAATCTGTGGGAGCCCCTTATAATCGGGTTGCAATTTGCATTTGAATTGAAAGAATACAAGTACAAATAATAATCTCGGCCTAAATTGACACGTGGTGTCAATTGATGTTGTCCCTTTATTTTGTTCATGTAGATATCATTAAAAGATCCATGTACATCAAGAATAATTAAAACAGCATGACAGATTTACATATTTCTGAATCCATTAATTCTCTTTCAGGTCTATTTGTTCTACCAATAATCGTTACAAGAACAATGACCATCTTTAAAATGGTGTAAACAATTTGAATCGCTTAAATATATTTCACATCCATATGCCAAAGATATGTATTTAGCTGTGTCATGGCAGTCCTTACACATTCTCAAATTCTTTACTATCCGTAAAATTTGAGGTGTGTGATGAGAACCTATTAATGCAAACGCAATCGCAAGCTTTTCACTATGTACACTACCAATATCTTCCTTCTCCTCTTCCTCAATGCAAAGCCCATGGTCAGAAATATGTGCCTTGACATTTACACCTACCCGTTTTAGCCAAGCATGGAGCTTGTCCAAATATGGTTTTGACTGATCACCAACAACAAAAGTATGGACCATGTTATTCATTTCAATCCAGCTTTGCCCAACCAGAAACTTTTCTTTCTCCAGCTTTGTCATTTTTGGAGCTTCCCTAGACTTCCCACATAAAGTATATGCCTGTGAAAGTAAATGCTGAGTTATAATATTTTCAGGATCCAACTCAAGCAGACGTTCTCCTGCAATGATTGCCATTCCGAAATTCTTATGAATTCTGCAGGCAGTCAGAAAGGCGGTCCATACAGAAAAATTTGGTTCAACGGGCAAGTTCAGAATAAACTTCAATGCTTCGGCAAGCTTACCCGAACGACCAAGCAAATAGACCATAGCGGAATAATGTTCCAGATCAAGTCTGATCTTAAAGTCTTCACTCATGTTGGAGAAAGCATGTTTTCCCTCATCCACCATTCCAGCATGACTATAAGCTGAGATAATACTTGCAAGAGTAACTCTATTTGGATGGAGTCTATCATCCTTCTTCATCTGATCAAAAAGATCAAGTGCAGACTCTGAACAGCCGTGTAAAACATAACCTGAAAGCAGAGAGTTCCAACTGATGATATCTTTTGGGGATAATCCATCAAATACTTTTCTGGAGTACATTATATTTCCTGACTTAGCATAATTATCAATGAATGTATTTGATACATAAAGTTCAGACACTAAATTTCTACGTATTGCACAACAATGAATTTCTTTCACTTTCTTAGCAGCCACTAGGTTTGCACAGGCAGGAAGGATGGTAAGCACTGTAACTAAGTTGGGAGCCATATTGGAGAACTGCATCCGCCGAAACATCTGCAATGCCTTTTCCTTTTGTCCACTCTGCAAGAAACCAGAAATTAAAGAATTCCATGATGCTACATTTGGTTTAATATTCCCATCTTTCTCAATTCTTTGAAAAAGATCCAATGCCTCGTCCTCGGCACCATTCTGCATAAATCCTGTGATCATTACATTCCATGTCACGACGTTAGGTGGTGAATCAGACTCCTGCATTTTCAGAAATAACTCGTGAGCTTTGCCACAGAAACCAGCTTGGCAATACCCTCCAATAATGGAGTTCCAAGAATATACATCTCTCTTTAACATCACATAAAAAATGCGTTGAGCAGCTTCCAGATTGCCACCTTTGGCATACATATCAATCAGTGAATTACCAATTAGCATATCATCAACCAAACCTGTCTTAACAGCTATAGAATGGAGTTCTGATCCCATACTTAGTGATTTTACTGACGCACACGCCGACACTGCACTAGCAATTGTAATACTGTTGGGCTCAACCCCCACTATAAACATCTCCCTCAACAAATCTAAAGCATCATTTATCCTTCCCTTTTGAGTAAACCCAGAAATCAAAGAAGTCCAAGTATATACATCTGGAGTAATCCTAAAACTCTCCATCTTCCTCATTAAATCAATTGCAATCTCACAATGCCCCAACTGACTATAACTGGCGATCAAAATGTTCCAAGTTACCAATCCTGGTTCAATCCCTTCCTCCTGCATTGCATCAAAATACTTCCGAGCTTGTTCGATCTCACCCTTCTGACAATATCCAGTTATTATCACATTCCAGGAAACATAGCTCCTCTCATCCATTCTCCTAAAAAGCTTCTCTGCATAACTCATCTCCCCACACTTAGCATACACAGCCAGAATTGAATTGATCACGCGCAAAGAAGAGCACCTTCCTCTACGGATCACCATAGAATGGATCAACCTCCCAGCTTCAAAATCCCTGCACTTTCCGCAAGCTTTCAAAATCTTTGGTAGCAAAAAATCATCAGGCAAAACCCCATTTCGCATCATATCATAAAAAAGCTCCACAACTTCCCCCCACTTAAGGTCTCTGGAGCAAGCACCAATCATAGCAGACCAAGTGAACAAATTCCTTTCACGCATTTCATCAAATACTTTCCGTGCTTCCTCCAAGAGCCCACATTTAGCATACATGCTGACCAACTTGGTCTCCACAAAAGGGTCCAGCTTTCTCACCAACCCAACCCTGGCATGCAACTCCCTACCCACCCAAATGCAGTCTCTGTCAATACAAGCCTGAAGCAAGTTAATGAAGGTCATGGGTCTCACCTTGGACCCTTGTTGGGCCAAGGAGTCAAGAATTGCCACAGCCTCACTCAGCTGACCATTGACACATAGTTGATTCAACTGGGTATCTATGAATTTTGGGTGTGACAAATTGATTGTGGAGACACTGTTGGAGCTTGCAAGGACCCTTGTCGAGCCCTGCCACTCTAAGTGGGTGGCACTGTGAGAAGGTATTAACAGAGAAGGCCATGGTTTACTATGTAGAATAATAAGGTTCTTCTCCATCGTGTTCTTTGTTTGCCACGGTTCCCAAATGCCCTTATCTCCTTTGGGCTTCACACAAATATGTGGAGATGACTTTACCACATAACATTAGATAAGATATATCTTTGTTTTTGCTTTAAATAAATAAATAGTTTTTAAATATATAAATACATTTTATATGCATATAAATTATAATCAACAAACAACCGATACATATTATATATTTTGTTAATTCTTCAAAAATATTGGAATTTATTTTAAAAGTATTCAACTTTCTTGTGAATACTTCTAAATATTTTGATCCTTATTTATATGAACAAATACCGATTCTTTTTGTGTTTGGATCCAAAAATGATGCTCCAAATTTAGTAAACTTTCATACCATTTGTCCAATTCAGAAATTAGAACCAAACACTTTTTAAGTAGTGGTTTGTTTCTTTACTCATTGTGAATTAGGTTTGTGTCTTTACTCATCGCGAATCACATTGTTCTTTCTCACAATAGGTTTCTTTTCTATTTCACCAGTGAATTTCTGTATGTTCTAACGAGGCTGGTGTTGGGTGGAACTGAAACCTATCTTCTGTTAAAGGCTCTCTTTTGATATGTTCCAAGATTGGTGAACCCCTTTTGTAAGTTATTTTCTTATCATCCTATTTTTCACTTTGTTCCGATCTGTTGTGGACTTTTTCTATTATTAATCGGCTGGTTCATACATCAAATTTCCTATCAGTGATTATGAACATGATTCATCAAATCAGGATTTTTCTTGTTTTGTTGAAGAGATTCAATAATTTGGTTTATAAACAGATCAGAATATGGAAATGTTGTCACACTACTTATACGAAAATGATTAGAAAGTTGAATATATTGTTTGATGCAAACACTGAATTGTTTTTTTGTTTTTGTTTTTAATTTACTTCATACATAAGTCGATGACTATTGCAAATATGAACATCTAAGATATATGTTTCTTTTAATGTGGGTACAAAGATATGTTCTGTGATCTCTTATTCAAACACTACAGATTGTCATTTTTAGGTATGAAAAATGAGTTCTGTTTTGTAAATAAATTTCACAATAAACTAAGGGTATAAAATAATTAACAATTAATGTATTTTAATTCATAAAAAATATTTTTTAATTGTACAAAACGTCAATTATAGTGTATATATATATATATATATATATATATAATTGTTTGTAATTAATTGTCATCTAACAAAAATCTTTGAAAAAGAAGACCAACTATTATTTTTAATTTAATTTATATACCATAACAATAACTTAGAAATAATGAAGCCCAAAACAACCAGTGAAGGGTGATAACATTGAAGATTTCAATTGATGTTTGCTAATAGGAGTTAAACTATATAAATGAATTTACAATCATTTATTTAACTTTTACGAACAAACATTAATTGAAATATGTTGGTGACAATTAAATACAGATAACTATATCTATATATATTATTTTTCAACAAATTAAACTAGATTTCCTTGTATTGTTAGTTGAATATAAAAAAATGTCATTTTTAAAATTTCTATATTTCTCATAGAACTAGTTTTTCATAAACTAAATTATAAAGAAATATCATACATATTTTTAAAGTTTTAATTTTTACTTTTATATGAGTTAATTTTACTTGAAAATAATTTAATTTAATTTTTCTCTCATTCGGCAAAATAAACTCCTTAGTATTACTATAATACCCAAAAAAAAAAACAATTACAAATGAAAAAAGTACCACGATGATTTCAAAACTATTTATGATTTTTTTTAAAATTTTACATGTTGCTGAACACATTATATTTGTAAAGTTGCATAAAGTATTAAAATAGTCCTTAAATGCTAAACTGATAGTTAGAAATTAATTTAAGACAAATCTCAAATCTTATGTGAAATAATAAGATCCAAATAGGTTGAATGAGTGAAATTGAAAATAATAATAAAAAAAAGTGATATCATATATATAATGTTTGACTGGTAGTGAACATTCACACTTAATGAATTTTTTATTATGTGCATGTGACATTCAAATGGAGCATTAATTACGTGAAACACACATTAATAATGTTCATTGAATCTTCCATTCCTGGTAATAAATTCAAAGAGTGGGATTAATTGCGTAGAATAAATAAGTTTGATCCAAAATAAAAAGAAGAAAAGAAATATTTGCATATGAGAAACACAAACAATGACAGAATGTATGATCTGTGTTTTTCTAGAACTATCCGCCTTGGTTTGTGAGTTGTTATAGGCAAAGCAACGTAAAACGTAAATAGTGGAGAAGCAAATGAAGTAAAAGTAGAATGTTTGAGTGTTATTATATTATTATTATTATTATTATTACTACTGTTACAACCTGCGGTTATAGAAATGAACTACCCCCATAAGTAAATTTTTCAAAGATTTATGCTTGTTGGTTTTTTTTGACTACAGAGCATAAAGCCACTACCCCACTCACCCACCACACATCCCTGAATCCGAGAACCACTGAACCTAGCAGCAATGGTTAAAGACACAGAGCCTTTAGCCTATGCTGCAAATGGGCACCCCAAAGATTTTGACCCTAGTGCTCCTCCACCGTTCAAGATTGCTGAGATAAGAGCAGCCATACCAGAACATTGCTGGGTCAAGAACCCTTGGAGATCTCTCAGTTATGTTCTCAGGGATGTGTTGGTTATTGCTGCATTGGCGGCGGCAGCAATTCGCTTCGACAACTGGTTTATCTGGCTTCTCTATTGGCCTATTCAGGGAACAATGTTCTGGGCGATATTTGTGCTTGGACATGATTGGTAATGTCTTGCTTTTGTTTTCAGTCTCGCGCATTGTTTAGGATGTTTCTGTTTTCTGTATGGTAAAGTTTTTCTTTCTGCATTCAACAGTGGCCATGGAAGCTTTTCAAACAGCTCTTTTCTGAACAACCTCGTCGGACACATCTTGCATTCCTCAATTCTTGTTCCATATCATGGATGGTTGGTTCCTGGCATCTCTTTTTCTTTTTCATTTGTCCTTCGATTGGAAGTTCTTTTGGATTTTATAGCATGTTTTGAAAATCCATTTGAGTAAAACTTACATCTGGGATTTGAAGGTTTTACTTCTATCAACTTCTGAGTGAACCTGAAAAATCACATCTGAGCTGTGTAACCGAACACTTTTGACAACCAAATTGATTTTGTTCCCATGGATTTTGCAGGAGAGTTAGTCACAGAACTCACCATCAAAACCATGGACACATTGAGAAGGACGAGTCATGGGTGCCAGTATGTTATTAATTGCCTCTATAGTGATTCAATTGTTACATATATTTTGTAGTCCCAATAAAAAGGGTACCTTTATTATACTTCACGAGGCTGTTCTTGAACATGGTTTTCTTTATCTGTCACTGTCTTAGTTAACAGAGAAGATTTACAAGAATCTAGACTACATGACAAGACTTGCTAGATTCACTGTGCCATTTCCATTGTTTGCCTATCCAATTTATTTGGTGAGTCCTTTTTTTACCAGGAACCGAGACAACAATACATTGTTATTATTCTAAATACACAGTTCAAAGTAAGTAATGAGTTTTGTTTGTGATGGAAACACATTTCAGTTTGGAAGAAGCCCCGGAAAGGAAGGGTCTCACTTCAATCCCTACAGCAATCTGTTCCCACCCAATGAGAGAAAAGGAATAGCAATTTCAACACTGTGTTGGCTTATCATGTTTTCTCTGCTTATCTATCTATCCTTCATCATTAGTCCACTTCTGTTGCTCAAGGTCTATGGCATTCCATATTGGGTAAATCACCACTCCTACACTGTTACTTCTTTTTTCCTCTTCTTTTTTTTAACTCTGCAATTGAAAATTTGAAATAGTTTACTACTTCTTCTCCATTAACTATACAATTATTTGAGCATAGCAGATATTTGTCATGTGGCTGGACTTTGTAACATACTTGCATCACCATGGTCACCCCAAGAAACTACCTTGGTACCGCGGCCAGGTAACAAATTCAGTTCATCCCGTTGCATCCTTTAACTTCTTATATTATTGAAACTAGTTATAGATGTTTAGTTTAGCCGTACCAGAAATTAGGTGAGGTAAGTGGTAACTTGTTGGTTTTTGAGGCAGCAATAACACAGTCTGTGGTGTTCTGAATTGGACAGGAATGGAGTTATTTAAGAGGAGGTCTTACAACTGTGGATCGTGACTATGGCTGGATCAACAACCTTCACCATGACATTGGAACTCACGTTATCCATCATCTCTTCCCTCAAATCCCTCACTATAACCTTGTTCAAGCGGTACACTTTTTATTCACCCCAAAAACCATAAACACTATTCAATTGCTACTTTTGTTTTATCTCCTGTTACACACTCTTTTCCATGTAACCTTTCCCTTGTTTTTAAAGCATTTTTTTGCACCCACTTGCATTTTTATAATGAGAAAGTGAGTATTATTATTTGAACTTGGTTTTGACGTTGAGGGCAGAAGTAGTAAATGAGTTATGAGTATTTGAATGTTTATTATCAGAGTTGTGAGATGTGTGTTTTGAAATGAGTGCAGACAAAGGCAGCAAAAGGAGTTCTTGGAGAGTATTACCGTGAGCCAGAGAGATCTGCACCAATTCCATTTCATCTAATAAAGTATTTGGTGCAGAGCATGAGAGAAGACCACTTTGTGAGTGACACTGGAGACGTTGTTTATTATCAGACTGATCCTCACTTGCACCAAGACTGACTTCAAATTTTGGTCCATCTATTGTTTTCTAGCTACTCAACTTACTTCTTTCTTCGATGTTACATTTTGGAGTTTAACGTTTTCTGAACAACTTGCATAGAGAGAGACAGGATTATAGAGTGGGGCTCAATGGAATAATACTATTTCAAATTAGTGTGGTAATAAATATTGAACTGTCAGTTTTCATTTCTCACCTTTCCCACCATTTTCACAGACCCTTCACATGGGAGCATTATATATTTTCAGTGCATTGTGTAAACTTTCTAAACCAAAATATATAAACTCACTGTCCACGTTACTCTTTTATTATTCATCTTTTATTTATAGATTATGATATATTAATAAATTTTTTTTAACAACTT